GGGGGGGGGGGGGTTGGGTGAGGAGAGGGAAAGAAAAGATAACTGACAGTGAAGAGGAATAATAATGAGACCCTTCAAGTTGGCAAATCAAATAGTGTTATTTTGAATATACTGTAACTGGTTTTCCTAGACCACTTAATGATGTATATTCACTTGGAAAATTGAGTGATAAGATGTGGTTCTACAGCTAAAGCAAAGGGTCAGAGGACAAAAGCTTTTCTCCGAGTCTTAAAATATTCAACAGGTGGAGTTCTAGAGGTAATTTTCACTTCATCCCTCTGTTCAGAGAAATTTCAAACCCCTTGATTGTGAATATTACATTATACCATAATTTCTTACCATATCCCACAAGGTTCTAAGCTTCCTAGCTGATGGATTTTTGAAACTTTCCTCCTATATACAGCCTGCTAAACTGTACAAGCTAAAGCATCTTTCTAAGGTGGAAGTTATAACTAATGACCCCAGTGGATGTACGTTTACTCTGGTAACTCTCACTCTCTTATTCACCAACAAAAGTTTACTATTTTCCTTCTGGATTACAAACTAGGCAGGTTAAACAGAGCCTAAAAATTAAAATGGAAAAAATGAGAAATAAAAGTGCTTTTCATTTTAGCTTTAGTGGTTCTCTAAGGTAACAAAGACTAAACAAATTGCGAAGCAATTTTTCCTTTTGAGATACTGTACTTTACTTCTCATCATCTCTCAGCATAGTCCTGTTCTCATAATTTTCTTTTACCCTTTTTTAGGGATTTGATAATCTTAGAAGCCAGAGTGTTGCTCCACCACAATGGACCATGCGCAATATTGATGACAGGTAACAAAATGGGGAATGACATTGAAAAAGAAAGAAATAAGGAAATAGATAATCAACGACTTCCCCTTCTTTGATGTTGTTTTTCTACGATTACACTGATGTGTTTTGCTTCTCTGTTTCATACACTTGGCCCCTTTTTTAGGAACCGCCTTCTACTTTGTATCTTAAACATCTGCAAGGACGTACTGGGTCGTCTTCCAAAAGTTGTTGGTATAGATGTTGTGGAGATGGCTCTTTGGGCTAAGGTGTGCTTTATGATTTAGATCCCTGCCTTGGTATTTGTCACATGTGTCTAAGTATGAAATTCTCCTTGTATATTCGTAAATGGTACTGCTTGTTCGTTGCACTTACGAAACCTTTTATTGTTATAACTATTAGAGGAGCTTCTTGTTGAAGAATGATCTATGCTAAAAGGAGTAAAGCTTTTGGTTAGAGGCTTTTTTTGCTACTCTAGGAATTTTGTAAGAATAAAACAACAAAAAAAAGGTATAACAATAAAATATGAAAGTTAAATTTTTAAATTTTAAATAATATTTTATATTTTATATAACAATTTAGAAGATAGAAGACTAAACATACATAAAATAATGAGATGATGGATAGGGTCGGTGTTAATGATCTGCCTTTATCAAATGGGTAGTGGACTTGGTCCAATCAACAAAGTAGGTCGAGAATAGACATATTTTTTATTTCATCGAATTTGTTGGTGGATCTTGCTGGGATTTGTCACAAAATTTTACCCTGATCTATCTCGGATCATTACCCTATTTGCATTGAAGCTGAGGGGATCCAATGGGGTCCTATCCTTTTCGTTTGGATAATAAATGGCTGGGGAAGACAAATTTTTAGGCAGCTGGTGGAAAAACTTTGGCTGAACACAGAAGCTGAAGGTTTTGCAAGTTACAGATTTTCCTGAAAAACGAAACTAAGATTTGGACTAAAGAGGTCTTGGGTGAGGAAAAAGCAGAGTTTGAGACTGTCATGGCTGAGAGTAATGAACTGGATGTGAAAGAGGAGTTGAAGGGCTTAAATGATGATGAAAGAGGAAGGAGAGGCAATCTGATGCTTAAACTGACTTCTCATTTGAAGGATGAAGAGTCTGTATGGAGACAAAGATCCAAGGAGAAATGGTTGGAGGAGGAGGATAGGAACACTAGATATTTCCATGCTTTGGCCTCTTGTAGACGCCAAGGGAATTACATAAAAGAGGTTTGGTGTGGTGGTAAGAAGGTTCAGGGCAATACCGAGTTGAGGGAGGCTGCCAGAGGATATTTTCTCAATCTATACAAAGAAGACAGGGTGGTTCGTCCCAATTTGAATGGTTTGCCATTTAATAGAATTTCGGAAATGAGTAGTAAAATGCTCGGAGCTGAATTCACTGAGGAGGAGGTGCTTGATGGTTTAAAATCATGCAATGGAAATAAGGCTCCTGGACTGCATGACTTTAATTTGAGGTTTCTTCAAGCTTCTCGGATAAATTTGTGAAATCTTTAAACTCTACCTTCATTACACTCATACCTAAAAGGAATGAGACTAATGAGTTTAAAGATTTTAGACCTATAACCTTAGTGGGGTGTGTCTACAAATTAATTATAAAGGTTTTGGGTAGAAGACTTTCTAAGATGTTGGGGATGTTATTGGGGATTGCATGCTTTTGTTGAAGGAAGACAGATTCTTGACGCGGTGATGACTGCAAATGAAATGATCGATGATTCTTTTGTCAATAAGAGGGACGGTTTGGTGTGCAAGCTAGATTTGGAGAAGGCTTATGACTATGTTAACTGGGTTTTTGTTGATTATTTGCTTGATAGAATGGGCTTTGGGTCAAAATGGAGGAAGTGGATGAAAACATGTATTGCTACTATATCTTTTGCTGTACTAATAAATAGGGGTCCTTCTAAATTTTTCAAGGCGACAAGAGGTTCAAGACAAGAGGATCCTTTCTCTCCTCTTTTTTTCATCTGTGCTATGGAATCTTTTAATGGCCTTTTGAGTAGGGCGAATAATCTGCAGTTGTTGACGGGTGTATCAGTGGGTAGAGGTGCAAACAAAACAGATGTGACCAATCTATTTTTTGCTGACGACACTCTTATATTCTGCCAACCAGACTTAAAGAATCTGCTACATTTAAGATGTATATTATTATGTTTTCAAGCGGTATTGGGGCTCAAAATTAATCTCAACAAATCCGAAATGGCCAGAACTGGTGGTGGTGATGCGGCTGGGGCTTATGCAGAAATTTTGGGGTGCAGAGAAGTTAAAATTCCTTTTTAAGTATTTAAGGGTTCCCTTGGGGCAAAATATAAAGATCAAAGTATGTGGGAGCCGGTCATTGACATATATGAAAGGAGACTTGCAGGGTAGAAGAGGGGTTTTCTGTTTAATGGAGGGAGATTAACCTTAATTAAAAGCACATTGGCCAATCTTTCAATATATTACTTATCTACAATTACTATCCCGGTGAAGGTGGCAAAAAAAATTGGAAAGCATCCAGTGTAGGTTTTTGTGGGGCGATGGTATAGATGATCAGAAATATCATTTGGTTAATTGGAATGACATTAAAGCTCCTTTTCAATATGGAGGATTGGGGATTCGGTCTTTGATTAAATTGAATGAAGCCCTTCAAGGTAAATGGCTTTGGAGGTATTGGAGGGAAGAAAATAGAATGTGGAGAAGGATTGTTGAAGCTAGATGGGGTGAGCATATGACTACAAGAAGTGGTGGCAGATTTTCTATCCCTCACGGGCGGGGATTGTGGAGGAAAATTCTGATGCAGTGACAATTGTTTAATCAGTGCTTAAAGTAGAAGTTTGGCAGAGGTAAATTTTTGGGAGGAAGATTGGGTTGGGGATGGTAGATTACTGAGGAGATTTTCCAAAATTTATAATATCGCTCAATCCAAAGATATGACTGTTTTGGAGGCTTACAGGGTAGTTAACGGGAACATA